GCGGGGGGGGTGGGGGGGGGGGCTGGAGTACCAATGCAGGCTCCCCAGTGCTGGGAGAAAGCCCTGAGCCTTAGGGGCCGGATCCAGGCAAGCCAGGGACTGCATGCAACACTCAGGCCTGAGGTTTCCCACCACTGCTGTAAACAAATTTTATGGGACTATGGGAAACGTGGCCACAGCCATGATAAGTGAATATCTGGCTAACTAAAATAATTCTAGACCATGGATTTTGCCAGACCAGAGAGTGCCAGATTAAAGAAGTTCAACCGGTAGCCTACATAGATGTGCCCCCCCCTCCCAATTGTATCTTTCTCAAAACCTTTATATGTCACTTACCTTTGTAAATTGTATGTTTTTTCAAACGTGGACTAAGTTACCATACATAGTTATACATTATTTCAAGGCTGTAATGTGGACCTTTATGTACTACTGTAATGTTAAGTAGTAATAAATACAGGAAGATTATTTACAAACGTTTTTTAAGATATTATAAAAGAAAAAAGATGACAACATTGAAATTAAGATTGTATTCACACAGCATTCAGGAAACAAAGCATTATTATTCCTGCAACAGACTTAACTATGCTCCATAATACAATTAAAATGTGGCTTACATGTATATCTGTGGACTTGTATGTACTTATACAAGGTCTGAATGTAATTCTGTATGTGAAAACATACACAAAGTCAGTTTGATATTAGAGAGCATGCAGAAAAAAAACAAGGATGAAAACCAAAATCACGGACCAGAGTTAAGACTGTTGTAGGAATAATAACACTCCATATTCTGAATGGTGTTTGAAACATCCATGTTACCCTCTTGCGTAAGAATACACAAAATGGAGTAACTTACCTGAAAAGTTCTGAGACTCCTGAGAGCAGAAAATGAGCTATTGCATCCACATTGTGAAAGGAAGACAGATAGTACTGTAGTGGAGTAGTCTACAAACATGCATGGTAAGTGGGTTTACAAGTAATGATAACAAACTCTGGGGCTACGTCTACACTGGCATAATTTTCCGAAAATGCTTTTTATGGAAAAGTTTTCCGTTAAAAGCATTTTCGGAAAAGTGCGTCTAGATTGGCAGGATGCTTTTCTGCAAAAGCACTTTTTGCGGAAAAGCGTCCGTGGCCAATCTAGACGTGGTTTTCTGCAAAAAAGCCCCGATCGCCATTTTCACGATCGGGGCTTTTTTGCGGAGAACAGTACTATGTTGTCTACACTGGCCCTTTTGCACAAAAGTCTTTCGGAAAAATATTTTTGCTCAAATGGGAGCAGCATAGTTTTCCAGAAAAGCACTGATGATTTTACATGAGATCGTCAGTGCTTTTCTGGAAATTCAAGTTGCCAGTGTAGACAGATGGCAAGTTTTTCCGGAAAAGCAGATGATTTTCCAGAAAAACTTGCCAGTCTAGACACAGCCTGGGATTTCAGATTCTGCTTATAGATGTCTGCCTTGCCTCTAGGCCATCCTCTAGAATTGGCAGCAGGGCAGTAACTTTTCCATCTTTGAGATGCTGTCATTACTTCCCTATTGCTGGTGTACTTTATTTCATTCTTAATTTCAAACTGTCTATCAATACCTCCTAGGCATTTTCAAAAATTAAGAGATAATCAGTAATGTGTACCTAATCCAAGGGTTAACATATGTTCAGGTTACATACTAGAAGTTGATACTCAGTCAGCATTAACTTACAGGACAAACAGCAATGGAATTTGTGGTACTTTGTTGGAGAACATGCTATGTTAAGCCTCTGTTTCCTGAATCTTTCCCTCAACCTGGGAGCTCTGTTGATATTTCTCAATCTTCCTACCGATGAGAAAGTCTCTTTTTGTTCTGTCCTTTCCTTAGATGTCAGCTTTGACCGCCTTATCAAAAAAAAATTTAAACTTTTTTTTTAAAGTTTCCCTGAAATTTCTCAGTTTTACATGCAAATAATTTGGTAATTTTGTTGCAGTTTTGTGTTTATTCCATATTCTGTTGACATAAATCTCTCGTTTTTATATAGTATCTAAGCTGTTGGACAAGTTATTTTAATTTATTGATAGTTTCCTTTAACAATATTGTAGTTATTAGGAAAAACTGATTATTCACACACATGGAAAAAGTCCATACATGATATTGGACTTTATTTGTTATTATAATACTAGCAAGAACTTATAAAATAGAGAAACATTTCATTTTGATTTATTCCATAAAATTAAACTGTACCTGTAGAGTCATTTAGACTGAAGGCAATTCGTACTGGCTTATCAGCAGGTACTCTTGCTGTGGTGATCATGTGGGCACTTGAGCCTACGCGTTTATCTGTGTGTTCCAGCTGCAATTATATAAATATTGCATACATTACAGGTCATATGAAGCCATTACATCTTCCGCTTAGTGATTTGCACATACTTATAGCTGCACTATTTTCATTTTTTATTCTAATAAAGCACACTTACAGCGACATGCACAGGCCTATATCTGACTTTTGTTTTAAAATCTTTTAAAGTTAAATTCAGTGATAGAAACTAAATACTTGATTTAGCCACAGTTCAGGTACAGGCAGTGACGAAGCAAACTTTCTCCACATTGCCATGACAGCATCTCTCAGACTTGACCTTGACAGTCACACATTTAACTCTCTAAACCTTGTCACTGACCCTTTCATTTAGATGTTAAGGATCTGCCTAGAGGGAGTCAGCTGCAGTATCAGAGCCTTAGTTAGCCCAGGCTTTTCTTCTGAGAGTATGTCTACACAGCAACATTATTTCGAAATAACTTAGTCCGTGTCTACACAGCAGGCAGTTATTTTGAAATAATGTTGAAATACTGTCAAGCTGGAGGACTTCTTATTCTGAGTCCTGTAACCCTCATAGTGCAAGGAATAAGGGAAGTCAGCAGAAGAGTGCTCTATTTCAAAGTAAGTGCTGTGTAGATGCTCCCAATTTTGAAATAAGCCACTTCAAAATAAGCTATGCAATTAACGTAGCTCAATTTGTGTAGCTTATTTCAAGTTAAACCCTACTGTGTAGACACACCTGAGTGTCCCAACTCCAAATACCAGTTAATTAGATGGATCTCTCGCCACAAAATAAAATAAAATAAAAATAAAAGCCCCAAACTCCCAATTAATTTTACATAGGACAAAACCAAATAGCTCCAGTAATTGTGTTCAATTGCCACCAACTTAGAATAAACTTAAAGCATGATCAAGCTTATTGTACTTATAGTTACACTAAGTATATTTAGACTTGCAAATAAATGTTTTTGGCCAAACAGTCTATTAAATATTTAAAGCCAACTTAAACTTCTGTATCTCTCATATAAAGCTGCTGTATTAAATATTTAGAAAAAGTATACACTGAGGCTTCAATCCTACACTGAGCCTTGTCCTTGTGTGGAGCCTAAATGAAGTTAATGGGACTGACATTGGTGAAAGATCTGCCCAAGCAGGAATCAATATAGGATTGGGGTATGAGAACTAAGTAAACTTCAAACATTATCCTGCAGTGAATTGTACCTACATCATCTATGTAGATTACTACATGAATGTAATTTAAATAAACATAGAAGTGTAAAACACCCTCAGAAAATTAGAGATCAAAGTATTCTGTAAAGTACAGCAAAAAATGCTAAAAGCTACGCTATACTTCTGTAGACAATGTGGCATTTAGTTTGTGGAAAGGGAAAAGACAGATAATCACATGGCAGCTTCTCCATAATACTTTAGAAAGCAGTGGTTGTTTTCTGGCACTATAATTGCATCACCCCATTCTATGTTCTGTTTTATTACTAGGGCACCAAATAAAAACACTGCAACAGAACATCATTACAAGAGAAAGGTCTTGCTTGGTGATGCACAAGCTCAGGCAAATTCATCCCTGACATCAATCCTTTGCAGGCAGTAGAGTAATGCCAAGCATGAATTTGGCCCAGTGACTTCAACATTTATTTTTTATTTGTTTTGTCTGTCTCAGCATTTAGCCAACAGAGAGATACTGTTACTCTGTGGCAATGTTACACAATAATCCATTGATGTGCCTGCTGGTCATATAATTGTTGTCTTACAGTGCTTGAATTTTCTTTAAAAAAAGAATAATTATTTCAAAATCCTTACTTTGGAGCTGGCAGTCTCTTTTCATATTGATATTTGGAGGATTCTCATGGAGAACCACATCTTCCCCTATTATTTACTAAACAAAAAAACATGCACATACTCAAACAGCATCAATTGGAAGAGAGACCACATAGTCATTTAAACAGATAAAATGAATTTTGGGGGTCTTTTCCAAAGCACTCTGTAGTGTATGGAGGTAGTTCACTTTAAAATGCATCATTCCACATTAAATAACAATGTTTAATATTCAGAATGTTTCTGTAACAACTTTTTCTAGAGTAACGATATCCCTCTTCCATAGTCTCTTTGGCTACATCTAGACTACGGGGGGGTTTCCGGGATACCAGAGATATCCCGGAAAAACTATGCTGTGTCCAGGGAACACATCTGCTCTTCCGCTTTTTTTTTTGCGGAAAAGCAGACGCGCTCTTTCAGAAGCCCTGTCTCCCTCATGCCACAAGGAAGAAGGGCTCTTCTGAAAGAGGAGGTTTTTCCGAAATTTGGCCCAGTGTAGATGGGCCAAATTTCAGAAAAGCCTCTTCTGACAAAACTATCGGAAAAAGGTATGCAAATTGTGGAGCGCAAATTGTGTACCTTTTTTTGATAAAACATTGTAGTCTAGTCGTAGCCTTTGTGAAAAGTATTTGAGACCTTGCATGAGGTTTTTGGGGATTTTTTTGTTTTGTTTTGTGTTCATTTTTTCTGCAAACAAACCTAGAACAAAAGAGACAAATTTGCACAGCTTTGAAAACAAGACAATTCATCATTGCATATTGTATTGCACACACACCACATCTGTTAACCATCATCAGATAGCTTTTCTACATAATAAGATGCTTCATATGTAATATCACAGACTAAGAAATGAGAAAAAACATTCATGGAAGTTAATACCAAAAATGAACAACAAATGTGATAGGATGTTGTTGGAAGCCTTATGCTTGCCATAACTGAACATTGTCTGAAGTAAATCAGTGGTCTTGTCCCAGTCACACTGTGTAGTCTACAAAGTTTAAAAATTACCATTATTTAGCCACCAATTTGGGACCAAAAATAAATACTCCCTTCAGTAACGAAAATATATAACACAAAAGATGTTTTCATTTTGTTTTAATTTACAGAAAGAAAATACCATCTACAAATATACATATTGTATATCAACCAGTTATCCCGTTAACTAGTTTTATGTATTAAAATTATTTCTTCCCCAGATTTTCTGCAGACTCCTCAATGCTCTCCATCATCAAAAAGAAAATAAAGATAACAATAAGATAGGGAAACCTTCACTTCAGTGCTGTGTGTGTAAATAGGATTATACATTTCCTATCATCTGCTGGAAATGAAATAAACCAACTGTGTACAAACTTCCCACTTATTTCTTCACACATAAAAAAGATAATCATTCTGTAGCTAGAAGGGTATGGAAGTGGGCAACTTTGAGTATAATGAGGTGTTTAAAAGGTTCCCAGAAAGCTGACTGTCGGTGGAACTAGCTGTTGTTTCTTTATAAAAATCTGTAGCAGAACTGAGATTAACTGTGTTACAGCTCTATCAGTTTAGTTCAGTTTTCACACCTGTTGCCTTACCTCACTTAGTAGAGAGTCTGCACTTGTATAATCCAGGGCCAGCCACTGCCTTGGCTTGTCGTTGCCTTTATGGAGTAAAGATTCAATAAAAGAAAAGGCTGCACCTGCTACATAGCAACCAACTGACAAGAGTCTGAGAAGCTGAGACAGCTGTTAAGGCAACATGCTGCTACCTGCACTTCCCATAGGCTTTGCTGTCCCACAAGACCACCCTTTTCCGCTTTTCTTCACAATTCCACTCTCCCTTCCTTTCCTTTCCAGCTATGAGATTTATGATGTTGTCATGCTTCAGAGAGAAAAAAATCCTACTGTCAGAGGCATTATTAAGCAGCAAACTGTGGAGAGTTCAAGATTTTTAATTCATTAGTCCTGGCAAACCTAAAATACAAACAGACTTGCTTCACAGGACAGGAATGTTTTCAGCATGACCCAATCAGTGTCTGTGTCTATTCCAGCAAACTGGCAAAGATAGCATGACTCCAGTCAGCAAAAATGTCTGTGGCTCGAATCAGCCTGGGGTGACATTGCCAACTTGGACTGGCTACACGCAAACTATTAAATGATAGAAGTAACTATCAAAGCTAACAACAAAGATGAGATTTGATGTTTTAGGCTAGATTTGTAGTGGGTTTGGTAAAGTATCTAAAAACAGACTAACAACAAATGATAGAAATATTAGACGAAAGAGGCAATGGATTAATTTTAGTAGTATATTAGAATCTTGATAAGCTTTCAGTATAAGTACATTCTGAAGGCAGATGTATTTATACAAATATTTTAGAGAGGAATTGAAATCACAGTTTACTCAAAACAAAGAGCTTATAGATTCTTCCACTGCCAGTCATTTTTGTAACTATAAACAAGGTAATTAGTAACTGAATCTGGAATAAATGCTGTGAAAAAAGCAGCAGTTATCCAGACTGATGCAATTACAAGAAGTATAGCTTAAACACCCTTCTTGATGTATGTTTTCTTCTAGATGAGTGTGATCCTTGAAATTGCAAAGGGTATTACAGGACAGGAAGTTGACTAGCAGTATATCTGCTGCATTTATCATTATACTGTGGGTTTTTTTAAATTAAGAAAAGTCTGTCTTTTCCACCAACAGCAGTTGGTCCAATAAAAGATATGACCTCATCTTGTCTCTCTCATATCCTAGAACCCATGGACCAACACAGCTACAACAAAATTTATATATATATCCTGGCATTGGCCAGGAACTGAACCAGTCTCAGCATAAATTAGAGCTTTCCTGCTTATACTCCCTTTCCTCCAGGAAAGACCCCTGTATTGGGGTGTAGGAAGGGGTGAGGTGGAAGCACCACACAGGTCCTACATTACCTAGGGATTCCCCTGCTAGCGATTAAGCCTACTTTCTAGCTTCACTGTGCCACCAGAGCAGGAAAAAGAATCTGGCCAAGGGAATCCAGTCAATAATTTCAAAGTGTGAACATGCCCTTCCTTCCTTCCTTCCTTATGTAAATATACTTCTGAAAGAATATTTATAATAATCTCTCTCTCATTTTAGAGGAAGAATTCGTTTTGTTTACAACTACAGTTGCTATTGAAATTTTATGGTAAAATAGTACCACCACTTACTATGGATCTCAATGACAGAATCTTTCTCCAGCTACTGAACTAATTATTTTTAAAGGATGTATTTGGTTTATGAACATAGGATGAAATCCTGACCCCACTGAACTGTATAGTGGAACTCCCATGGACTTCAATACTAGGGTTTCTCTCACAGAGCCTGACTCTCTTTTATTTTGCATCATGTGTAGTCACTTAAACCTTTCGAAAGCAGATGTAAAACAAATATAAAATAGGTCTGAGTGAATTCCCAAGTGCAATGTAATGATGAATGGTCCCTATATAAGGTATTTCTAAGATGCATAAAACCTTAGTTTATAAGCACCAAGACTTACCTTCACTAACCAAGACAGCTGGATTCCTTATCATTCACTGACATAGATCATACAATTACAATTTATCTGGCATGCCCAAAAGTGGAAACATCAATAACAAATGGATACTTTTCAAAACAGTTGACTGACACAGCACAGCTACCACTTATATCTGTAAATTCAATATGTAATATTTTGGTATATTCTACCTATTGTAAGCATGTTATATCATCTTCTGAATTTATTATATCTCAGCATTTCTGATAAAATCCCATATTACTCTTCATACATTTCAAAAGAAGGCAGTCTTATCAGTGCTTAACTCTCACCACATTAAATACTCGCCCATCTCCTTCAGTCAGTTTCGTACAATGTAGGATTGCAAGTCACTGTTTGGGACACAAACTATACAAACTACATCAACCCACATTTACATTTAAGTCTCAGTGATTCAGACATTGATTAGTCTCCCAGAATACTTGCCGTAGGTACTGTGTGGATGACATTGTTGTCCAACTGTTTCAATACAACAGTGGGAGTCTTGAATTCAGGGCCTTATGTTCCAGCTCTTACTCGTGTGAGTTTTTCCACTGAAACCAAACACACAATTACATGGATTTCTGTGATGGCAGTGATCTTGATTTGGTGTCATGTGCTCATCCAGCTAAAGAGCTTGTAAACAAACCTGATTTCTAGATACATTTTCAAATGTATGATGTCATATTTTAAGAGTATTCCCTGGTTCTTCTGAAACCCTATTTCTCAAACCTTAACATTAAAGCGTTTTACATATAAACGTGTATCTGAACTGTTAGGCTGAATAATTACTATCATTCTGTAATTATTATTATAACCCATTTACTATTGGGGATATAACATTACAGAACATCCAATTAAATCTGAAATCAAACAACAACACACACTCATATAGCAATTTTCATGTAAAGTTCACAAAAACACTTTATAAAGGTAGGCAAGAATCATTATCCTTATTTTACAAAAATGGAAAACTGAGGCTTAGTGAAATTAGGTCACTTAAATTCCTATTAATGCACTGTAAAACTTGGGAACAGACTAGTGGCTCAATCCCATAGCTCACTGTGGTTCTCAAACTTTTGTACTAGTGACTCCTTTCACATAGCAAGCCTTTGCATATGACTCTCTGTATAAATTAAAAATACTTTTTTATACGTTTAACACCATTATAAATGCTAAAGGCAAAGTGAGGTTTGGTTTTCAGGCTTATAGCCCATGACCCTCCCCATATAATAACCTGGTGACCCCATGAAGAGTCTCAAACCTCAGTTTGAAAACCCTGCCATAGCTCTTATTCATATCCCATTGCACCCAATTCCATAATTCTTATTCACATTCCATTGCGCCCAAGAAAACTACTCCACCATTTGGTGCAGTACAGTAAATACTTGTTCATAACAGACTGAATATACACATTACAGCAATGAAAAGTTCAGAATGCTGATAATTCCTCCAGTTTTTCCTATAGAAGCACAGTAGGGTGCTCTATACTGTTTTCCTGCCAGCCTGGTGTTAGTCAACAGATGTTTGGTACCCAAGCAAAATTCTTTTGATTCTGTATCACATTATGAAACCTGAACTTCTCTAGAAGAGTGACACAAAGTATATCATGTTTTAGTCATCAAAAGATTTTAAAGTCATCATTCCTTAAACTAGAAACGCTGCACCTTATTGATATGTGGTACAAGTTTGTAATTTTTTAAATATGAAGTATCAATTATTTTACACATGTATAAACAGCAGTAAAATGATCAGTATTTTCTACCTAAAAAACACATCCTGCCTTCCCTTTTATAGCCATGCTACATTCAATTCATCTGAGTTTCCTAATATGACAGTATTTTGGTAGCATATGATCTCATTCAAGCTGAAATGGTGTTTCAGAAGCTGCCAGTCATTATTTAAAAATATACTTAAAATATTCTAACACATGGATGGTGTTCAAAGAAGATATTGAAAAATAAACTTTTCCTAACAGGAAATAAATTGAAAATTTTATTTAACTGTTTCCACTGAAAAGAATACAAAAGAGAACACAAACAGCAATTAACTTGTGTTTTAATAGCAAAAAACTGTTAAGGAGTCCAGTCCTGGCAAGTGCAGAGCACCTCTGATTCTATTTCTAATGGATGTTGATGGAAATTAAGGATGTGCTATACCCCACAGGACTGCATGCTGAAGAAGTAAATGGCAACAAGACATTATAACTGCATTTGTAAGAAAAAATACTCTAGAGAAATTTCTACAGAAGTAAAAAACCAACCAAATTCATAGGAAAACTGGGTTATAGCCAGCAATTTGTGACAAATCTCCCTCCACTCTTCCATGTGGACAAACACTGAATACATTTATATTCACTATTTTATAAATTCGTTGTTTTGTATCAATGAATCCTTTTCTAGTTCACTAAAGAAATCCCACAATGCATTATTTTGTGATCTCTCTGACACTTAATCTGATGCAACCCATTATAAGAAAGTTAAACTTGCATTATTTCTGTGCTAAATGCCCTCAAAACTTAAGCTGTGCATTTAGCACATACTTTGATGTTACATCATTTTTTATTTTAGCTTTGCAATTTAACTTTAAGAAGTTTATGGTTGTAATGAAAACTGTTCAAGATACTACTGATGAAAGCATTCATAAACAACTTTTCTGCTTACAACATTTAAAACTTCATTAATTTGTAAATAGTGTCAGTGCTCGGTGTGAAATGAATATATATTTAGATCAATAAAATGGTATATATGTAATTTAATTTACATACAGCCAAACAGGTAAATAAGTGTCTCTCCAGCCACGACCCATAGGAAGCAGGGGGAGAAGAAGCAACTGAGCTCCAGTTTCAGAGGGGTGGCTGAATTAGGGATTTTCCATCCACTGGATGGATCCTTTTGAGATCACTCCCCTCATAAATATGGAAGAAGGGGACTGCTTGGCTACAGTGCCAGGTTTTTTTCCCAATCCTGTGTGGCTCCCTTCCTGACTGAAGGAGGAGCCTGTGATGTGCTTCCTCTTCTTCTCCTTGAACCTCTGACCCGACTTGGGCTACTAAAACAATGCCTGCAAATTTCCAGCAAAGCTGACTTGTTCAATCCTGTCTGGCTTTTCTCCTACTAAGGGAGTGGAAGACTGAGATGAAACCACTCAGACTGGGTTGAGGGAGAAACTGTAACCTACAGTAGGTCAAGTTCCCTAACAAGCTACTCAATAAGGATGGGCAGCATGAGACAAAGTATCTTCTCTTTCGCCTCTGGATTTTTCAGCCTAGCTGAAGAAATAAGTTATTTACACCTTCCCATAACACAAGAACTAGAGGTCACCAAATGATGCGAATAGGCACCAGGTTTAAAACAAACAAAAGGAGGTACTTCTTCATACAATATAGAGTCAACTTGTGGAACTTCTTGCCAGAGAATGTTGTGAAGACATAGTTTAAAAAAGAG